CCCTGGAAGGGGCCTCTCAGGGAGGGGGGGCTGCACCAGCACTGATCCACCCCGGGGACGAGAGGCCCGGCTCAGGGGGTCCCTCCTCCGCCCGGGCGCCTTTCTCCCGGCCCTTCGCTGTGCCTGCCCGCCTGCGGCATGGAGATTCTAACGCCAGCCTACCTTGCAAGAGTGTTGTAAATATTATTCAGATCCCACGTGGGGGGGAGCCCTTTGTAGCGACATCGTCCTTTCTAGCAGGGAGAGACCCCTCCCCTAAGCCCAGACCCTCTGGGAGAGGCAGATGGCCTCCTTGCGGGGGTGGGGGGGGACATTGCCAGAGAACCAGGCGAGGGGAGGGGTCTCTTCGGGCTGTGGTGTTTCCACTGGTCCTCGTCCCTCCGCCAGCTCCCCGCTCCTCTGTGTGCATGGGGGGGGGGAGATGTTGTCTTTCATGCTCCGTGTACGTCAAATAAAGTCCTCAGAATCAAACCGTTTTGTGCTGCAACCAGGACTTCACTCCTGCCACGCGGGAAAATGGAAATTGTCGTCCCGTCCCCCCCACACACACACACACCCTCCAATGCTCCCTCTAAGCTGTGGAGTCTTGTGAGCAACAATTCCACTTTGTGAGCTGCGGGCATTAAAGTTGGGAGCGAGCGATTTGGCTATGGCATAAATGAGTTTGCCCTGGAGCCCCATCCTTCCTGCCACAGGAGGTGGTGGCGGCTACAAGCATGGACGGCTTCAAAAGGGAATTAGATAAGCATATGGAGCAGAGGTCCGTGAGGGGCTATTAGCCACAAGGTATAGATAGGGGCTCTGGGGCAAGGGATGCTCGGTCTTCTTGGGTGGGTGGGTGGGGTTATTGCAAACAGTGATGCCCCCCTGGAAGAGCCCCTGGCTTCTGCAAGGTCTGAGGGGGTGGAAGCACACCTGTTGTAACACACACACCTCTGCTGTTTTCTGAAACGAGACGTTGGACCTTGAGGCAGAAGCAGATGCCTGCTCACGCTCGTCACCCCCCCAACCTGGTTTCCAACGCAACGCCGCCACCACCCCCAACACACACAGACACCGGTGTGGTGTCCAAGCAGCGCAGGCGTGAAGTCCGGTTCCCCCGTGGAGGGAGGGGAGTCGGTCGGTCGAGGGAATCATGCCAGGCCAAGGCCTGCGGCTGCCAGACCCGCTTGGCCCTGGGTCCCTGGTGCAAACTGGCCCTGCCGGGGTGGGGAGGGGAAGGGAGCCCCCACCCACCCTGAGCCCTTTGGGCAGGTGCAGGGAAGCTGCGGGGGGCGGGCTGGCCCCTGCTCCAAACCCTTCTGGGCTGCAAAGCTTCAACTGCCCCCCCCGCCTCTGAGGACCCAGGTGTGCTCCCCCCCCCCCAGTGCCACCGGCAAAGGA